ATAGACAAATACATACTACCAACCGGTTGCTCCTTTTGTCTTCTGCTTTTTTAAACTCTTCTATTTTCTTTCAAAACTATACATTATTTCCTAGCTTGTTATATTTAACCTGAAAAACAAAGGGAAACACGTTCAAAACCCTGCCATCTTTTAGTGTGCTTTTCAAAATGTGTTTTGCAGTCTATTCAAGACAGGGTTGGCAGTAAACTGGACCAAAAAAAGAAGAAGAAGCTCTTGTCCCTTTATGAGACTCCCATATGGAAGGTCTAATATTAGACAAATTTATTTAAATGCAATTAATTATTCAGGCAGTCAGATAAACAATAGCAATCTTAAATCTGTCCATGGTTTCACATTAAACTTTGTTTTTTTAAATGGCCTGGTCCAAAAGAATGTCTGCGAAGGATGACTGGATGCTGCGAAAGAGAGAATTCTGGGAAGTGATAGTGGCCATGTCAAGCATGCGGAAAAGGGAAAGAATACCAATCCCTGTCCAAATCCTCAATTCTGCACCACATTAAAGACATAGGGCCCCCTGACACCCCCCTTGCATGGCTGTGCCAGGAGTAAGTGCTCTATGATGTAGCTGTATCAGCTGCAGGACTGGTATTGGTAACACGTGACGATGAGCAGAGCTGTTACCACTGAGATCACGCTGAGGTGTCAGTGACAGTAACTGGGACTGACAGTGCCTATTTTTATGTGGCTTTCCTCCCCCAGCCCCCCTCTCTCACACATACATATTCCTTCCCTCCAGAGACTCCATGGCAAGACTGAGATAGATATTGTATTAAGGGAAGGGTGGCACAATTAAATACTCCATCACAGGCACTACAAACTACACAATGCTGCTTCCACACAGTGAGGGATCTCTGCACTCTGAGGGCCAGTTTGGTTTAGTGGTTAAGTGTGCGGACTCTAATCTGGGAGAACCGGGTTTGATTCCCCACTCCTCCACTTGCACCTGCTGATGTGACCTTGGGTCAGTCACAAGCTCTGGCACAGCTGTCCTTGAAAAAGAGCAGTTTGTGTCAGAGTTCTCTCAGCCCCACCCATCTCACAGGGTGTCTGTTGTGGGGAGGGGAAGGGAAAGGAGGTTGTAAGCCGCTCTGAGACTCCAAGTGAAGGGCGGGGTATAAATCCAATCTCTTCTTCTTCTGCACTCCATTAACGGTGGCTGCAAAGGAGCAAGAGGCCTATGCACTGACAACAGAGCTTCCACACATGGGAGTTTTCTGCTTGGTGGTGGTGGAAAGTGCCATCAACTCGCAGCCAACTTAAGGCAACCCTGTAGGGCTTTCAAGGCAAGAGATGTTCAGAGGTGGTCTGCCATTGCTTGCCTCTGCGTCATGGCCCTGGGATTCCTCAGTGGTCTCTCCTCCAAAAATTTAACCAGGGCCAACCCTGCTTAGCTTCTGACAAGGTCAGGCTAGCCTGGGCCATCCAGGCCAGCTTACTTTCTGCTCACTTTCTCCCCCTCTCCAACTCTTCCCTTCTACACATGCCCCACAGGGACTTTGCATTGGCTCTTGCGGACACCGTCATCACAGTTGCTGTGGTAACTCAATGCCCTTTTTTTGTGTTATCTTATTCACCTCCACTATCGCACTATAATGTGTATATTAAAATATGACACAGAAATAGCTAAGTGGCAGTAAATCATAATACCACTATAGCAAGTATTGATTTTTTAAAGGTCTCAAAAAACATCCAGTGTTGAGGTGGGGGGGAAATGTGGGAAAATAGCACTGTGAAAGGCTGAACACAGGAAAATGGTACAGATGTGGGAGGAACCCTTGTAGGGAGGGGAAACACGCATCGTTTCTTCAAAATTAATGCTTTGGGCTGCATTCTTTCAAAAAAAAAAAGAGTTTGTAGTAAAGCTGGTTTGAGAACAAGCATTTTGAGGACCAGGGAAAATGTGGAAACAAGAGCATTTATAGTACAATGTTGTGTGGAAGTTTGAAAGAAAAAAAGCACTCTGATTTGGAAGCCAAAGTGGAGAAAAACCCTCTGTGAGGAAGCAGAGTTAAGTCAGTTCAGTAGAAGTATCTAATGAGACTCCAGGTCCAGCAGCTGAAGAACAGGCTGTACAAGACTAGAAATAGGGAGAAGAACAGGTAAAACTTCAGACGATATCAGCAATGCAGACTGAGAACGCCACAAGATATCTACAGGCTTAGATGATTTTTAAAGGGAACAGACAAATCCAGGGAAGACAAAGCCATCAATGGCTACTAGCTGAATGCAACCTCCATGTTCAGAGGCAGCATGCCTCTGAATACCAAGTGCTGATGGGCAACAACAGGGGTACTCCATGCCAGAACTGCAGGACTTCTAGTGGGATGTGACTGGCCATTCTGGGAAACACAATGCTGGATTCGATGGACCTTTGGCCTGACCCAGCAGGATTCTTGTGTTCTTAGGGAAAGTTGATTCAAATGTTTAGCAACAGAGCATGGTACAGTCCTTGTAGAACTGAACCTCTCTCAAACATGTGCACAGGGGAAAGTACCTCATGGCAAAATGTCCCTGTACACTAAAAACTAACATACCGGGGATATGGTTTGGGCAGGGCTTTTTTTGTAGAAAAAGCCCAGCAGGAACTCATTAGCATAATAGGCCACATCCAACAGCAGAAACTCATTAGCATATTAGGCCACACCCCTGACAGCACAGCTCATTGGCATATTAGGCCACACCCCCATGTTACCAGAAGTGTGCTCATCCAGCCACACCCATCTTTTGCTTCTTATTCTGTTTACCTTGTTTGTTGTCCAAACCCAGGGCTTTTTTGTAGCAGGAACTCCTTTGCATGTTAGGCCACACACCCCTAATGTAGCCAATCCTAATGAGTTTCTGCTGTTGGGTGTGGCCTATTATGCTAATGTGTTCCTGCTGGGCGTGGCCAACTTGGAAGCCAGCCGGAACGGAGTTCCTGTGCGTTCCTGCCCAAAAATAGCCCTGGGTTTGGGTATAAAGTTTCTTCCTGACAACCTAATTCTGAACATTCAAATCAATTTTAACATAGGAATGCGCTACAACATGCGATCCGCCGCCACCCCCTTTTGCATATGACAGGGACCCGTCACGGAGGTACTCTTCCTTAAGAAAGAGTACCTCTATGACAGGCCCCCCCAATGTGGTGCCCACGGGCACCATGGGGCCCGCTGACATCATTCCTGGAGCCCGCCAAGTGCTTTTCAGAAAGTGGGCGGGGCTAGGTGGGGACTGGCTGCACAGATTAAAACGCATCCTATTAAACAGAGCTTCTGCCTGAAACGTTGAAGAAGTACTATTAAGAGTGATGCATAAAAACCTTGCTCCCTGACGTTTTGTGGTTGGCTCCCCCTCCTGCAGCAGCCGTTTTGTGACTGTGCCCACAGCCCCGTGTCAGAGTTCCCAAGGTGCCCACAGGCTCAAAAAGGTTGCCCCCCCCCCTGCTCCGTGGAGATTCTAATATCAAGCCAAAGGCAGACTGTGTCTTACACAGTTTGCTGGATACTCGGTTTGGTATCTTAGCCATTCAAATCCCTTAGTGGATCGAGCCAGTGAGTTTGGCTACTGCAGTAGAAAAGGGATGAGGGACTATGGGGGTAAGGAGATAACAATTTATGCTGGTAAGCATAAATGGGAAGAACATAGGAAGCGGGAGCACACGGGCAAAATGCAGGTGTCTTGAACTGCAGCAGCAGCAGCAGACAGTGGAGTCATGGAAGGCAGGGGTCATTTCCTGCAGGAGCGCACAGGAGCAGAGCTCCGGCAGTAAAGAGCCCAGGGGGCGGGCACATGCAACAAGCCCCACCCCCTGCTCCCAGCAGCCCTCAATCACAGCAAGAAACAGCCAGGTAAGTTGCAGAGCTCCCCCTGGCCCCCCGGTCCAAAACAATCTAGTGGCACCTTTAAGACCAAGTTTTATTCAGGTACAAGCTCTCCCTCCTCTGCCAGGACAGATCTGCGTGTTCCCCCCCCCCCAATAGCTAGCAATGGAAAAGAGTCCAGTGGAGCCTTCTGACACACTTCTGGTGATGTCAGGGGTGTGTGGCATATGCAAATAAGTTATGCTAATGAGGTATGCTAATGAGCTCCTGCACCTCTTTTTCTACGAAATGACCCCTGATGGAAGGAGATAGGACGTGGATGGTAAGATGAAGAATGGTCAGTGGACTGTCAGAAGCTGGAGAAGGAAAATATGGAGGAGAAGACGTCGCCGGGCGGAACTGGCCAAGGTGATCATGACAGCCGGGAGCCGCGAGGAATGTTCTTGATGACAAGAGGAAGAACAGTTTCATGTTGGTCTGCAGCAGAGCAGCTGGAGCCAAGTCCAGGAGCACCTCAGAGACCAAGAAGAGATTCAGCTTTTGAGAGTCCAAGCTCTCTGATGAGTCAAAGTACCTGACAAAGCTTTGACTCTCAAAAACTTATATCCAAACAATGCTGTTGGTCTCTAAGGTGCTACGGGACTCAAATCTAAATGGAAGAATGGTAAGACAGGCTGCTTAAGGAAGAGCAGAAAAATCAGAAACGAGGTTGTCTGCAGAAGGGGTCCCCCTCCCCCAGCTAGGATCCAAGGATTTCTGCCCAGCTTTCTCTCTTGGAAAGGAAGCAGAAGAGGGTTGACCACTGAGACTTACGCCTCAAAGCCTGGAGCCATAACGGTAAGGAAGGAAACTGCAGGACCAAATCACAGGGTTGTGGAGAGCAGATGGGCCAACCAACCAGGTTGCAAGTCTGGGCACTGCAGAATGGGGACTTTGCAGAAAGGGTTCCCAACGGCCTGGAGGGAGTAAAAAACCTCAGGAGCCTTTAATACTGACAATGGGATTGTTATTTAGCAGGTTATGTTTGTTTACCTCTGGGCCCAGAAAAAAATCCCCATTTCCACACATGGAGCCTCTGTTAAAGGGACAGGGCCTTTTCCCCCAGGCCTGTTGGCGACCCTTTTTGCAGAAGAAATGTCTAAGAGCAGCAGAACAGGATGAGAAGAGAAGAGGAAGGGGCTAGTTTATCAAGGAAGAGGCCTGGGCTCCGGAAGGGGCAGGCGAAGAGAAGGACGGATGTTGGAAGCCTCGGGCTGGGAAAGGCAGGGCCCAGGGTAGATCGAGAGAAGGGAGGGAGAGGGGGGAGGGAGGAGAAGTGAAAGAAGACAGGGTGGGGAGGGGGCCGGGTGAAGCGAAGGAGGCAGAGAAGGCCGAGGCGGGGAGAGGAGCAGCAGGCTTGGCGGGGCCACCAGCAAGCAGCGAGGCAGGGGCCATGCCAGCAGAGGCCTTGTCGTTGCTGTGGGTGCGCTGGTGGCGGTTGAGGTGGGAGCTGCGGCTGAAGCATTTGCCGCAGATGCTGCACTTGTAGGGCTTCTCCCCGGTGTGGGTGCGCTGGTGGATGGTGAGCTCCGAGCGCTGGATGAAGGCCTTGCCACAGTCCCCACATGCATAGGGCTTCTCGCCCAGGTGGATGCGCTGGTGTTTGATGAGGTTGGAGCTGACGCTGAAGCACTTGCCGCAGGCGTCGCAGCGGTACGGCTTCTCGCCGGTGTGCATGCGCCGGTGCTTAGTGAGGTCGGACTTCTGGATGAAGCCCTTGCCGCAGTCGCCGCACTTGTAGGGCTTCTCGCCCAGGTGGGTTCGCTGGTGCTTCAGCAGGTTGGAGCGCACGCTGAAGCTTTTGCCGCACTCGTTGCACTTGTAGGGCTTCTCGCCGGTGTGCATGCGCCGGTGCTTGGCCAGGGCCGAGTTCTGGGCAAAGCACTTGCCACAGTCTATACAGGAGTAGGGCTTCTCGCCAGTCTGAGTGCCTTGGTGCCGCACGCCCTCCCCCCCACCCCTCCCGCACTCGCTGCAAGCTGGGCGCCGCCAGAGGAAACTCTTGCCGCAGTCACTGCACTTGCAGGGCAGCAAGGTCCCACGCTGGCGCTTCCGCCGGGCTCCCAAGAAACCGCAGTCCGTGCAACGACAGGGCGGGTGCTCAGCACTCCTGTGCACGCGCTGGTGCCGCTCCAAGTGGGAGCTCTGCGAGAAGCCCTTGCCGCAGTCATCGCAGTGGTAGGGCTTGTCGCCAGCATGGATGCGCCGATGCCGGTCCAGGTGGGAGCTCCAGGCAAAGCTCTTCCCGCAGTCACTGCAGGTGTAGGGCTTGGCAGAGTCATCGGGGTGGCGGGTGCGCCGGTGCTGAAGCAGGGCACCGTTCAGTCCAAAGCTCTTGCCACAATCCTCACAAACGTAGGGTTTCTCCGTAGCATGGTGCGCACGCCGGTGCTTGGACAATGCCGCGTTCTTGTTAAACCCCTTCCCGCAGTCACCACACTGGTAGGGTTTGGTGCTGGCTTTGCTAGCCGGCGCAGTTGCGGATGCCAGGCAGCACTTGCAAGGGGAAGCCTGGATGCTGCTAAAGTGGATGCGCCGGTGGCGGTCGAGGTGGGAGCTCCAGGCGAAAGCACGGCCACAGTCCTCGCAGACGTAGGGCTTCTCGCCAGTGTGGATGCGCCGATGGCGCTCCAAGTGCGAGTTCCAGTTGAAGCCCTTGCCGCACTCAGTGCACTTGTAGGGCTTCTCCTCCAGGTGCTGCTTTTGGTGCTTGATGAGGTGGGCCGGGAGACCGAAGCTCTTGCCGCAAACGTTGCACTCACAGGGCCGAGCTGGGCTCACGCCCGTCTTCTTGCCCGCGTGGCTGCGCTGGTGCTGGATGAAGGCCGAGCCGACGCTGAAGCTCTTGCCGCACTCGGCGCAGCGGTAGGGCTTGGTGCTGGTGTGGCGCCGCTGGTGGGTCACCAGGGTGGAGTTGAGGCGGAAGCACTTGCCGCACTCATTGCACTTGTAGGGCTTCTCCAGGCCAGCACCACTGTGCAGCCGTGAGCGCTTGCCAAAGCCAAAGCCCTTCCCGCAATCGAGGCACCGCCCGGCATGGCCGAGCAGCCCATGGTGGCCCCGGGGGGAGAACTTCTTGAAGCCACGGTGAGTGACTGGCTTGCTGCTGCCCTGTTTCTTCCCCGAGGGCTTCTTGGGCTGCTCCTCCAAGGCCGCCTGGCCCGGGCTTTCACTGCCGGCCTTCTCCTTTGACTTCTCCAGCAGAGGGTCCGGTTGGGTGTCCACTTTCTCCACCGCGACATTCTCTCCGCCACCGTCTTCTTCTCTCCCTCTTCCTCCTCCATCCTGCTGTGCCGTCACCTCCTCCTCCTCCTCTTCCTCCTCCTCGTCCTCATTCCCATTGTCACTCATCATCCCATCATCTGCTGGAACAATGAGAGAATCCAGTGACTCCTGGGGTCTGGGAAAGGAAACTTGGAAGAAGGGAATTGAAAAAGGCTGTCATGCGTTCAGAGACCCGGCATCACAACTTGTCATTCCTCCCCACCCACATCCTGCTGACTCTCCTCAAGCCCACGTCCTCCCACACCGCTGCCCACAACCTGCCTTCAAAGGTACTCTGGACCTTCTGTGCTCAGTGAGGGAGGAGCCATGCTCAGGTTCAATCCCTAGCCTCTCCAGTGAAGCGGATCCAGCACAGCTGATGCGAAAGACCTTTGTCTGATGCCCTGGAAAGTGACTGCCAGTCTAAGGGGACAATACCGATCTCGATAAACCAGTGGTCTGACACAATTTCCGCACTGTCACTTTTGTCACTCGTTTTTCCCTATTGCTTTGGGTCCCCCCCCCTTCACCATGTGTTTTGCTTCCTCTGGGACTATAGAGAGAGCAAAACACATGGGAGGGGGGAACCCTGAAGCAATAGGGACAATTAACAGGGCTCTTTTTGTAGAAAAAGCCCAGCAGGAACTCATTAGCATAATAGGCCACACGCAACAGCAGGAACTCATTAGCCTATTGGGCCACACCCCTGACAGCACAGCTCATTACCACATTAGGCCACACCCCCATGTTACCAGAAGTGTGGTTATCCAGCCACACCCACCTTTTGCTTGTTATTCTGTTTACCTTGTTTGTTGTCAAAACCCAGGGCCTTTTTGTAGCAGGAACTCCTTTGCATGTTAGGCCACACACCCCTAATGTAGCCAATCCTAATGAGTTTCTGCTGTTGGGTGAGGCCTATTATGCTGATGAGTTCCTGCTGGGCGTGGCCAACTTGGGAGCCAGCCGGAACTCCATTCCTGTGCGTTCCTGCCCAAAATTAGCCCTGGGGACAAATGAGTGACAAAAATGACAATGCGGAAGTGGCCTTAGTATAAGACAGATTCATGTGTTTTATGTGTTTCCCACTTTCTGCCCCTTTTGGGGGGGGGGAATCCAAAGAGTTTGAACCCAGGTACGAAGCACAACTCCTTCTATCGGGTTTTCGGGCCAATAGCTGCTTCCTCAGTTCCCCACCCATAAAATGGCTTGAGCCACCACATCATCAAATGCTTTCCCGTTTCTCCCATGATGTGGTTGGTTATCCCTGGAGTCCATTCGGATCCAGCACAGCAACCCCACCAGCTACTAGCAGCACAAGCCCAATCCCTGTCCCACCCGGGCTTCTGTCTGTCAGTGTGCCACTGAAATCCATGGAGGCTACACAGCAGAGGCGCCTCGTAGATTGTGCCCTGTGCGTTTCCAGAGCAACCTGGCGGGTTCTGACTCCTCATCTGCAAGCAATTAAAGAGGAACTGCAAAGAAAGGGTAATTGCCTAGCAACCATCAAATCTGTATCCAATTTCCTTCCCCCCCCCACTCCTCCCCTGCTTCCCCCTCTGCAATTTACATTTTTGGTTGCCTGGTACTGATCGGGAACCTCAAGCATAGTTTGCTGCTCAGCCCGGCTTCTTCAGGGGAGATCTGATTTTCCCTGGCTGACAAGCGGCCTACGAGAGGATGAGGATTCTGCCTAGAATCCCACCCCTCGCTTGACCAGTGTTCTTCTCTCTGCCCATTTTTATTTTACCCTTCATCCGATGAGCTCCGGCCAATGAACATGGTTCTCCGGTTTTTCCTCAGGACAACCTTTTGAAGCAGGTTGGGCTGAGAACGAGTGGTGGGAGGAGATGCGGCTCAGTGGCAGAGTGTCTGCTCTACATGCAGGAGGTCACGGGTTCAGTCCCCGGCATCTCCAGTTAAAAAAGATCTGCCTGAGATCCTGGAAAGCCGGTGCCAGAGGCTGCATTCTTCCCATCCAAGGACTAACCAGGCCCGACCCTGCTTAGCTTCCAAGGTCAGACGAGACCAGGCGTGTTCAGGGCTGTATGGCCGTAGGTCGCTGCATTCTTAATGCTACCCCCTGTAAAAGCCCCCTGGGACAAATAGCACATCGGAGAGGGAAACAGATAGCTTCTATCTAGTACATGCTTTATCCCACCCTTTCTCTAAGGACCTCACAGCAGTATAGTTTTCCCTGTGTCACTTTATCCTTACAACAACCCTGTGAGGTAGGTAAGCAGCTCAGTGTCAACCAGCAAGGTTTGTGGCAGAGTAGGAATTCAAACTTGGGATATCCAGATCCTAGCCCATACCCCCCACAACACACCAGCACTCACTCACTGTGCTAATTTCCCCACTTACAAGGAATGATTAGAGTAGAGGAACTTACAGAAAGATGCTCCCTCCCCTGCAGGCTGAAGTGGGATGACCCGTTCTACCACTTCCACACTCACCCCTGCCCCATTCTGCCCTATGTGGAGACCAGGCCTGCGTTTCTGCTATGGTGAGATGGGCTACTTCCACGTGCCCAGGAGAACATGTGCATTTCACCTTGGGAGTAACATACCAATTTCTTATCACACATAAACTGTAAGTCTTTGTGTGTGTGTGTGTGTGTGTGTGTGTGTGTGTGCGCGCGTGCGCGTGTGTGTGTAAAGGGCCGTCAAGTCATAACATACCAATTTCTTATCACACATAAACTGCAAGTCTTTGTGTGTGTGTGTAAAGGGCCGTCAAGTCATAGCTGACTCACGGTGACCCCAGCAAGGGATTTTCAAGGGAAGTGAGAAGCAGAGGTGGTTTGCCATTAGTTTTCTCTGCAGAGTCTTCCTTGGTTGGTACCCTTCCGAGTACCGACTCTGCTTAGTTTCCAAGATCGGACAAGATCGGGCTATGCCACGCTGTCTCTCCTCCCCGGCAAGACTGAGTCACTGGCATGTCTGCTGTTTTCTGCTTCTCGTTAAGGTGCGAAGCCACCCTCCCAATGTTTGCCCAGAAACTCTGCAGCATCCTCTGGTGTTGCAAGAGGAACACGAAGTCTGGCTTCTGCAGCAGACTTACCAGGTGCCAGTCCTCTTCTCCGGTGAGATTCGGCAAACGCAGTTATCCGGGGCCAGCTGATTGCAATTTCCTCCGCTGTGGATGGCGGGGGACAACAGGGGGAGGGGAGGATGCAATTTAAAACAAAATTAGATGCAGCACTTTGGTAATGCAGAAGTACCATCCCCAAATCATCCTGCCCTCATTTAGGCCCCACCTTGTGACCTAGGAATTTGGTAAAAAAAACAACCCATCCCCCAGAGATAAGGGCTTTGTATGTTTTATGCCCTTCCCTAGAAAAAACTCTCAGGCTCTGATCCTTCCAAAACATATTTACTTGAGAGTAAGCCCTGCTGAAATCAATATAATTCCATTCCAAGTAAGCATGCCTAAGAACAGTTTGGGGTTGCCAGGCTCCAGGTGGGGCCTGGAGATCTGCTTTTACAACTGATCTCCAGCTGACAGAGATCAGCTCCCCTAGAGAAAATGGCTGCTTTGAAGGGGGGACTCTGTGGCCTTGTACCCTGCTGGGTCCCCTCCCCTCCCCCAACCCCCCACCCTCTCCCGGATCCACCCCCAAAGTCTCCAGGTATTTTCCAACCCAGACCTGGCAACCCTAGAACAGATCATATACATGACTTTCACTTTTTCATATCTGTTTGGCACATTTTTACTCTGTTTCTACAGGGCCTAGCTTTTCAAACAGGGTTTTGTTTTGTTGTGTTTGCTTTTTTGCTGGGGACTGCAGTCAGCATACTCCAGGAAGCAGAAGGACAATAAAGGAAACAAAGGCGAGATTCCATAGGAGCAGGACAACTGTACAGGGCACACTTGATGTCCCATCTGCTAGACATCGGAAACTCCATTCAATGCCTACTCTCATCTTTCAAGATCTTAAGATACCATTCAGTTATTTGCAGAACTTGGGTCCTAGATAAAAGTGTGACCTGTGAGCTAGGAAGTTAGTTTTTCCATAGGTGGCAATTCACTGGATGGCTTTAGGTAAGGAATTATTCTCTCAACTTCAGTCTCCCCCTCCCCAAACCTCCAGTTGTGGAGATGACAATATGAGTTACTGATCTCTTATGGAAATAATAGCTAACCTGTCTTACAGGGCAGTTTTAAGAATTACTGTGACCTGATCTAGACAATGCAGGCATCGAGAGGACATTTCTGTTTTCATATGACGTATTTGTTTATCTATAAGACTTTCCACATGCATCTGTCATATTGAATTAGTTGCTTGGCACCTCAGGAATTCACTTCAACAGCTTCACCATGAGTTTTGATTCCAAACTCTCTGAAAGAATGGGGACTCTCTAGCCATCCTTGTCTATGGTTCTCCTTTCAAATTACTGGCTTCTACAACTTCCTTTAAAAAACTTGCAATGACTTACAGGATAAGAAATGACTACAGCTTTGAGGAAAGTGGTATTTTTTAAAAAAAATCCTGTACATCACACCATGAAGATTAATATTTGTAACAGTCAATACCTGTGACAAGTACTCTTGCCAAATATCATGTCACCAGACAAGAACATGGCAAATATATTGTTTAGACCAGGTGTGAAGTATTGTATGTGAAGTGCCTCCACAACCTGGAAGTGCTTTGTTACTGCTTATGATAATGACGAGAAAGCCAGAATGGTATAGTTGTCAGAGCAGTGGCCTCTAACCCGGTGCCTGTGGACACCACAGCATCCA